GCGGGAAGATAGAGATGTTTCCTGAATGGTTTTGTGTGGTGCATAAGAATCTAAACATCTAACGCTGGGCCCGCCAAAATGGCCGCAATATAAATCTGAGGGGTAATGAGATTATTAATGGGATCAGAACAAAGAAAAAACACATGTCTAATGTACAAATTTGGATTCATTTGATAGACTTTTCTCTAACCATTGCTTTTATTGTGAAATACAGGCACATTATACCTCCTCTTTGACTCTGGCTGGACATTTGGACTCATTGTCATGATGCAGAATGAATTTGGGACTGATCAGACACCTCCCTGATGATGCTGTGAACACAATCATCTAAAGTACCTAACATGTTTGCACAGTAATGTGCTTAATGCAGAGAATTTTAAAAAACAAATTTTCACTCAGTCTGTCTGCTGAATAAAATAAATCAAACAAAGATCAGTGACCTACAGGCAGACCTTCATGTAGTGGTACGGGGAGGCGTTCTTCAACACAACCCGTTGAAAAACTGCAGATTCCTCCTTCTTATCATCACGTCTCATTTTATTAAAGCATCGGTGACTGGGTTTCCCTCTGGTGATGAGAAGCAGGTCAATCAGCTGCCTTCATAATAAAAAACAAACTACTAAACGTTAAACAAACATCAAATATGATCAACAAGCGTTTAAATGACACCTATCTATATGTTTGGTATGTATTTGTTTACATATGCACCAATCTAACTGCAGGAAGTGTGTGTTTCACAGTTCAGACAAGTCAAATGTGAAGGCGTGCCTGTTGCCGTGAGGCTTAGGCATTGTTACTACTCGATTTCACAAAAGAGCTAAACATCAGAATCAACTTTGCACAAGTCCGAAAAGCTTGTTTGAGTAGAGCGATCTCCAATTATCAACAGCAGTGAGTTTTCAGATGGTACACAGCAGCGACATGAGGCATGTGTATTATGATATATTCATACATTTCAATCATCATAATAGCCATACAGATGAATAAACACCTCCCTGAAACAGTTTGATTACCTTCCTTCTGGGTTGTTTTATTAGACTACATTAGCTTTAGCTTGGTGAACCTAATTAACCGCTAACCGCGTGCAACGCTAACGTTACATGACAATACAAGCTGAGCCTATCTTAGCTAACAAGAGGTCAAACGACAGCTAGTTAGCTGACTTAACGCTAAGCTTTGCTAGCTCATACCTGCTACGTTGTCATCTAAACAGCTATAGAAATCCACTGTTGTAATATTCAGCAACAGGTTCCTGCATTTTACTCACCGCCTACACAAATTTTAACCGATAACAGCGTGTCTTTAACAAACCATATATCCGCTATCCAAACTTTCACCAGTGTGCTACCAGCACTTCCTGCGGCGCATGCGCGGTCAAACCGGCTAGCTTTGTCAAAAGAGGTGTAAATTGGTGTGATGCATCACTCTGTCACAACAATTAACATTATTGAATTACAAACACCCTTTCTTTGTTTCTGCAGCGTTGTGATGGAAGAAATAGTCCGATTCTTAAAGTACCAACAATACGATCTAAAAATACTCAACTACAAATTAGGATTTACTTTACAGATTTTTTTCTAACCTTTGCCTTTTTAGTGAAATATAACGAAACGTTTTACTTCTTTGGGTCTTGAAACAGTTATTGAGGGATATCATTTTGCTGGTAAGTGACATGACAGACTGAAATGTTATAGTTTTTTAAGAGGTCACAAGACAAAATGACTGGGAACCACTGGATTAATCTTCAACAATGTTGTATTTTTACACTTGTCATAAAAATTTAACATGAAAAGTAACAAGTGACTAAAGAAGACATAAATATAGTGGAATAAAAACTGCAAAATATTCTTTGCAATACTCAGTTAAATTAGACATGTCAAAAGTCTAATTTGCCATATTTTGTCAGACTATTTAACTCCAATCTTAGAAGGGATTTTTAAACTTAATAAGGTGTGGCCCGAATGAGTCACATCACTAACTATTACACACCAGAAGATATAGCAGATCACTTCCTGGTGTGGAGTGTTTAACAAATCTTAACAGATTATCTACTCTTTGCCCAATTTTCCAAACTAACAATTAGCCAATCAGTCCAACAACAGTCCAAGTTTTTTTTTCTTTAAAAGATTTATTTCTGTAGCCCCGAAAAATTTGTACAAGTGCTAAATTATTGAATCACCATATTTATCAATTTTTTTCATTTAAAAAACAACTTTAAAAAATAAATCACGCCTGAAATAGACAACTAATTCACCTACAACACATTTTTTCCTCTGAATCTCAATCTGAATGTGTTTTCATGAAGTTAACATCTAAAACAGAAATTATAATCTCATGCATGATGCTGTGTTAGATCCAAACCATAGACTGTGTATAAAAATAAACAGTACATCACCACTTCCTGCAACTACACAAAACTGCCACTAAAATATCACTATCTTGTTTTCATGACACATTTTGCAAACCTGATTCTGCACAGTAGTGACCAGAGGTGGCATCGCGGTGTCAGACCACCAATCAAAGATGTCTGATCATTTGAAATGCATCCAATTTGATATCATCAAATAACTTAAAAACAAACTTAGCAGAAAAATTACCACTTGTACACAAATTAGTATGGTAATATCTATTATCTACCAAAATCTACTACCTACCGAAAGTGAAAGAAATCGCGTTTGGGAAAAATGTATATGATTTGTACTTTTTTTTTTTGGCTCATGTCCCATCCACTAACATGGAGGGGTGATGCTTATCACCTATACTGCAACCAGCCACCAGGGGGCAATCGACTTGCAGTGGCTTCACTTCTGGAAGCTGTCTCATCATCCATCTTTACATACAGTCTATGGTTCAGTCTGATAAAACTTTCAGGAATATTTGAATGCAATTGTATTTTTATTTTGCAAGATGTAAATACTGTTGTAGAAAACACTTACAGTAAATTATAAAAGTCTATCAGCATCTGTATCATCTCATCCATCATGAGGTCACAAACAGTACAAATCTATTATTCAGGAATTTTTCTTTGCCTGCGCAGTCAGGAAGTCTACGATGAGTTTAGCGGCCTTCCTGGGACGCTCCATCGCCACAGAGTGACCACAGTTGTCCAGCCGCTCCTCCTGGCAGCTCGGCAGCGCCGCTTGCAACACTGCAGCCCCCGACACATCCAATACCTGAGTGAGGAGAGACATTTATTAGGAGCTTGTCATGTTTGTTTGGACTTTTTAAATTCATTTTTTATTAGCCACACTAATGGCATGGCTCTAGATGGCACTGTAGGTGGGTTTGTGCCAACTGAAATATCTCAACAACAACAACAACATGAAATCTTGTACAGACATTGCTTGTTTCCAGAGGATGAAGCTTAATAACTTTAGTGATTCCTTTACTATGACTAACAGCTATTTGATGGATTGCCATAAAATCTTATACACACATTTAGTGTGCTATTTGTAATAGCTTTGGTGATGCCGTCACTTCACATCTAGCACTATCATCAGGTCAAAAATATTTGATTCCCCTTTATACAGCAGAAGACAGGCCACTTCCTCTTGTGGGATAGTACATCTTGACAAATTATCTACTCTTTGCCAACATTTCCATTCAAGCATTCAGCCAATTCTTTTTTTTTTTTAAGATTTCTTTCTGTAGCCAATAGAAGCCCTTTTATAAGTCCTACAATTATTGAATCACTTCATTTATCAAACCTTTTGTTTAAAAAAACATTCACAGGATTAAATCACATAAATCAGACAACTCATTCACATACACCAAGACTTTTACTGAATTTCAATCTAAATGTGTTTATGTGGTTAAATGTGCAGTCAGTTATTTACCTGGTCTTCCTTCCCCCAGATGACCTGCAGAGGCGCTTTGATGAGATGCAGGTTTTCCTGCAGTAAGTATCGATTTTTATCTCCGACAATCTCCATGAACACTGAACACACACATACCAAATAAATCAACAGAGCACACTGCAAGCACATACATGTAATTTAAAAAAATATTTTTTCTTATTAATTCTGGAAAAAAGTTATTAAAATAATGAGTCTCAAGAAATTGCTGAGTATAACTACCTGTAATAGTTTATAATACAGAAACAGTATTAATGAACTATAATAGTTGAAGTTGTAAATTAGTATAAATTACATTTCTGTTGCACTAATTCACACATCAGTGTTTTGTTTTGTTTTTGGGATTAGCATTAAAACACAACATTTGTGACTTGTAATGATGAAAGTAGCGCTGTGGACATTTATCAAGAAAATTGATAAAATGTGGAGAAAGTGCTGAGTTTGCATTAACATAAAAATCTAGGAAACAGATTGATAGTAAATAGAGAGGCTTCTTACTAAAATATGGTCAAATATCCTTCTAAAACAGAACAAATCAGAACATTTTCATATTCTCAGATTCACACTACCTTGTCATAAATCCCTTGTTTCAGAACGATCACTACCGCCTGTTCATTCAATCATAAACATGTCATATAAGTGCAATAAAAAACACAAAAAATCCTGCAAAGCTTTAAGTTTGATGTCAGAAATTAGCAAAGTATAACATAAAGAGCCTGGTCACCTGCCTGAACGACTACAGGCCAGTGGCACTCACCCCAATTATTATGAAGTGCTTTGAGAGAGTGGTGCTGGCCCACATTCAGAGCAGTATACCGGACCCCCTGGACCCCCTGCAGTATACCTACCGGCCCAACAGGGCCACCTCAGACACCAGCGCGGCTTCCCTCCACTATTCCCTTTCTCACCTGGAAAATGGAGACTCCTACATCAGGATACTCTTCATTGACTACACCGCCGCCTTCAACACAGTTGTCCCCCACAAACTCACCCACAAACTGTCCACACTAGGTCTGCACCCCACCCTCTGTGACTGGCTCCTGGACTTTCTGACTGGCAGGCCCCAGACTGTTAGGATTGGCAATAGGATTTCAGACCGCATTGTTACAAACACTGGCACCCTACAGGGATGTGTCCTCAGTCCCATCCTCTACACCCTGTTCAAACACGGCTGTGTCGCCTCCCGCAAAAACATGATCCTGAAGTTCGCGGACAACACCGCAGTGATAGGTCGCATCACTGGCGGGGACAAAGCAGCCTACAGGAGGGAGGTGGCCGGTCTGGTATCATGGTGCAAGGACAATAATCTCGGCCTCAACATGGACAAGACGAAGGAGATGATAGTGGACATTAGGAAGGAGAGGAGATCTCATCAGCCACTGTTCATCCGGGGGCTCGAAGTAGAGAGGGTGAGCAGCTTCAAATACCTGGGTGTCCACATCAGTGAGGACCTCACTTGGACACTTAACACCACACAGCTGGTCAAGAAGGCCCAACGGTGGCTGTACTTCCTGAGGAGGCTGAGCAGGTTTGGCATGTCGCCTAGGATCCTCAGCAACTTCTACAGCATCACCATTGAGAGCATCTTGACCAGCTGCATCACTGTCTGGTACGGCAGCACTACTGCTATGGACCGC